AAATCAAATCCTTATTATAGCTGACAGAAAAATACTAAACTGAATCAAAAAGTAAGCAAAGGAACCTTGACAGAAGGAAACATTTTGCAGGAGAGGGAAGGAGACTCAGCATGTTAAAATGACTTCCCTGAACTGAAATTGCAGAGAGAGCCAAGAAATATTTGCAACCATATCTTTGATCAACCCAGTGATATGGGCAGTCCTCTCTAGCAGGTATCAGTAGCCCTTACATGTCTGCTCATTTCCAAAGTATTTGCCTGGAAATATGTGCAAGACATTCCAGGTTGAACTCAAGCCATTTCCACGTAAAGCTCTGGAAAGTCTCCTGCCTGAAGCTGTACAGAGCTGCAGGCGCCAAACTTGTAGGTTTTGCTTTGGGGTCATTTTTGGTTTTGGTTTCTGCCTAGAACCCCAAGGTCTGCCAACCAAAGCCTGGTCCACCAAATGGTGTAGAACACATGCACTTAGGAGTAAAGCATTCTCTGAGTCCAGGAATTTGATTCGAGCAACAGAACAGAAGAGAGCTTGCAGGCACGAAAGCAAGTTTAAAACAGTGATGGGGAATAATTTTGTCACGTAAGAAGCTCCTGCATGCAAAACATGTGTTCCACCATCTAGAAATTTCATAAAAAATGGTGCAAACATGAAAAGTGTTGCTAATTTGCTGCAAATCACCCAAAGGTGGATCCAGATGCGACTTCTGCCCATTCCTAGTGCTGAGCTAAATGAACTGAGATACTGGCTCAATTTGAGGCAGCTTCCTATATTTTCTTACAGGTTTGAATCTGGCACATGTAAGAAAGAGAGGAGCTGTGGCTCAGGGACAGTGCCCCTTCCCTGCATGCCAAAGGTCCCAAGTTCAGTTCCCAACATCTCCAGGTAGGGCTGGATAAACTCTAGAACCGTGCGACTCTGAAGAGCCTCTGCCAGTCAGTGTAGACAGCACCAAGCTATTCAGAGCAAGGATTTGCAGGTTCTGAAAGTCTCTGGTTGGAGAGGAAGTGTCCATAGCTCCATGGCAGAGCCCCTGCTTCGCCTGCAGAAGATCCCATGTTCAGTCCCTGGAATCTCCAGACTGGACTAGCGATGGAGATGCTGGGGAAGCTTCTGCCAGTCAGTGCTGGCAATATTGGCCTAGAAAATGGTCCAGTGCTTCGAACATCCCGTGTTCCTAAAATGGCTAAACTGGGGTGTGTGGATGCAGGGCATTAATTCTAAGTGCAACAACAACCACTATCAAGACTGTTGGGTACCTGCTTTCCCTTCCCATGTTAGTAGCACTCTCAGAAGCAATGATACCAACGACTCCTTATGTCCGCACAGGCGCACAACACCAAGAAGCAAGTCACTGGGCCTGCACAGTGCTAGGCGGGGGACAACATTTTGTTCACACCCTCAAAATGGAAGTGATCCACAGTTGGTCTTGCGCAGAAATCCCTCTGCAACAGCCAGCAGTCTCGGCAAAAGCATCCCTGAATGACAACGAATGGCACAATCCCTGTGCCCCTTGTTTTGCAGCAAGAATGGGGCTCTTCTGCCTCATCACCACATGCCAGTGAAACACAGAGCGATCTGGCAATTCCAGGGCGGTGGAGAGCACAACGACGGACAGGGAGGAGATGCAGCCCATGGGCGGCATGTTCTCTACCTACTGAAGCCTTTCAGTCAGCTCACTGCAAGAGTCCAGAGTTGCTTCTGACATTACAAACACACAGGGTGGCTGCAGAAAAGCTGCACCTGCCTTGTGGTGTCCCAGCACCGGAATCCTGACTTTCATAAGCCACATCACACCTCTATAACTGTGCAGGGCACCTGCCTTGATTGATGAGGGTCTCTTTATTCCTGGTATCTCCATGGATCAAGTCCCTCAAGGAGCTGTGTTTGAAAGAGTTTGGGTCCAATTCTATGCAAGTTCAGAGAGAGAAATGCAGGAATTTCCAGCATGTCCCAGCATTGGCATTTTTTTTTATGTTTATTTATTTATTTTTTTGTCTAAACATGCATAGGATTGCATCGCTCATCATACACGAGCGCAATTAAGGTGGACTCAGTCCCATTACAAATCTCTTTCTGGTTCCAGTGACTGCCGAATGGAAACACACTGACAGTCTATGAATTAGAGAACTGCATATAAAAGCAGACGACCGAGCCCTATCCATTTTCTCCACCCTTTTTTCTAAAGAAAAGAAAGTACTCCAGCTTATTTGATTTCCAAGATGATAAAGATTGGAGGTTGTTTTCCTGTAGCCATTTTTTAATTTAAATAAATCAAAAGTGACTAAAAATGTGGGTTTGTTTTTTTTTTTTTTTTATCAAGATAGGTTAGAGGCAGGAAGATTGTTTCTCTAGAAACCATTATTTTTTGTTGATTGGCAGAGCAAGTGTTGAAACAGCAATATGTTTCCTTCCCGGTGATCCCTAGACTCATGGAAGTATGTTCTAGGGCAGAAAAATTCTATCAAACACAGGGTTCATAACAAGCACAATCGCAGGACCTATGTTTCCAGCTCTGCCTGGGAAAAAGGATATCCCAATTCTATTCGAATGAACGGAATTTATCCTTCCTTTTCTCCAAATGTTTCTTACAAGGATGGGGAGTACGCTATTTTTTGTCATGGGCCAAGCTCAACATTTCAGACGCATGCATAGTTGGAGCCAGAGAAAACAGTAACATGGGGTAGGGAAGAAAGATCGGTTTGTGTCAAATGAAAGGCACGTTCACTTGGATCAGCACCATTGTTACATTGTTATTTAGGCTGAAATCCTCCCTCCTTCTCGGGAGTAATGCCCCATTCGAGTACTGTGGGTCTTACTTCGGTGTAGGCCTGCACAGAATTGCCTGGACAAGCCTGCTTGTTCTTCACCATGCGTTTCTGCACACTTCCACTTCTTGCACAGCGCACAGAGAAAACAGAACACTGCAGTCGGACACACGGGGACGTGCAGACCCAGATGCATGCAAATGGGGAGAGTGCAGGCTCACTTTTGGTAGGCAGCTGCTGACACACCTGCTGGGACACGTGAGAGGGGCCATCCACAGAGCAGCCTGCCCTGTCTCTACCTGGCCAACTCTGCAGGCTTCCTCCAACCTCCTACAATCAGCCTGTGCTGGGGAGGGGGGCAAATAACACGCGGTCTTTACACAGGAGCCATGCCTGGGTCAACCAGTCACCCTTCCTTTCAAGAGGTTCCCCGTTGCATTTATGAATGAGTCACTGCTCTGCACTTGCTCCCTTCTAAATAGGAGGGCCGTTCAGAGGAGAGATTCCTATGGAAGGGGGCAGACACCCTTTTTCTCACACACTTGACGAGTCGACCTTTGGGGATCGGAGGACAAAGGGTTAAAGTGCAAGTCCAATAGCATTTGGGAGTGGAGAACATACTTCAATAGTCCTGAGTGAACGCCCCCATTCCGGAGCCACTGTAAACCTTCTGCGCGCCATTGCAACGTACACAGGGGAGAAAACAATGCAGACAACTCATCTCTGTCAGCTGGGGCCATCCTGAGAAGGCAGGTATCCATCACCATCGCGCCCACGTGACTGCGACCGAGAAACATTAATCCAAGAATAAGCCAAGCAAAGGCTAGCTGCCAAAAATGGGGCCCGCTTATATGTGTTATGGGCCACAGCACTCTTACCTGTGTAAGGAGACCAGCCTGCCATATGCGAAAGGACTTGCTACGGCCACTGCCCAACTCCCATGAATGTTAGGGAGTCGGTGGCAGAGGCACCTGGGCAACTCGTCACTGGCATCCCAATGCTACCCTGAAATGGGATGAAGCATGCAGTAATTAAGTGCATCTAAACGCAGCGGGATGCCCCCGGAACGCCTGTGCAGGTAAGGATTTTTCCTGTGGCATACAACACACATTAATTGGGCCTCAAAATGATCCCATCATCCCAGGTTCTAGATAAGGTAAAAACAAAACAGGAAAGTTCTGCCCCTGAAAATCAGTATGAAGGCTTGGAGAAATAATGCCACATAGTTCCTTGAAACTGCAAGAAAAAGAAGGGGGGAAAGGAAATTGATCTCATAAAAATTTCAACACAGCACGTCGAACAACTGCAAATGAGATGCTAGAATAACCCCTAAATGACCTGGGGAAGAAATGGTGGAGAAAGACGAATGTCGGAGAATCATCTGGCAGAATGACAAGGAGCTGTGGCAAGACCGACTCTAAGTTTTGCAGTTTCCCAAGTTTTAGATCGCTTGCCTGTTTGTAGAAAGCAACCCCCTCCCCCTCAAAGGAAAAAGAAACCATAAACGGGAAACCTTTTCCATCACGAGACATACAGGAATTTGCAATATTGAACACGATAATAGCACAGAGAAGCATGTGGCAGCAAAAGGCAGGGGCAGGGGTGTGGTGCATAGCAAACGAGCGACTTCTTAAAAGTACCCACTGGGCTCCGGCTGCATGGCAGGCCACAACACACACCGGCCACGGTGTGCCGAAACAGCCCCATGTCGCCCATCGGAGCACCCCAAGCACACCAGAGCTGTTCCGTCCAGGCAACCCAGTTCCCAGTTTGCCACAGGACCAGGAAAACGAGACCCCCCCACTGTCTAACGTAGGGTGGCGTGTCAAGATAAATATCACAGATCACCCAAAAAAGGGGTTGTGGTGGTGGGGTGGGGGGGTGTTAAAATTATTTTTAGGTTTAATTTCTCATAAAGAATGCAATTTCACGTTAGAGTTTTTGAGCTACAAAAATAGAGAGATGCAAAATACTTTGTCAATAATACTTTCCATCAACCAGGCCACCACCCTGCCACAGGAAAAATGGAAAACCGGTGCTAGTTTTGCTCTGACAAGCACCCCTGCCCCCCGCTGAATCAAGTGGGATTGTCACATTAACAATAGCTTCTTCTTTTTTTAATAAACAATACATTTAGGGAAAGCTCTTAAATACAGCAAATTTGTGAAACCGTCAGTAAGCTGTTCAAAACAAGACACACACCCGGGGGCTGCTGCTTCCTTCCAGCCACAGTGCCGCTTATAGTACGATATCTTTTAGCCTCTTCACACCAGGCGAGTCTTTCTCTCTACATTCTTGCAGAAGAGGGTTAATCTCATGCATCGTGTTCTCACTGTCCGCACCCCTTGGCTCCGCTTCCGTGGGCCGCGATGGGCCATTGTTTACAAAGGGCTCCAGGTCGCGATTTGCTGGGCAGTGCATTATGTTGTACGACACGGATGGTTTGCTAGACAAGGGGCTCTTGAGGTGGACGGGGGATGTGATGGGACTGACGGCTTCACAGCCGTTCCCTGCCTCCCGGACTGCCCCATTGACCTTTGGACTACAGACAGGTGGATCCACTGTTCTTTTACCTTTCAAGTTGGCCGGGCCCCGCTCCTCAGGGACGGGTTCGCTCCCGTCCTTGCCAAATGTGGCAAAAGTTCTCTTTGTGCTACAGTCTTCATAAAGCTCTGTATCCACTGTGGTCGCTTCTATAGAGAGGGACATGACGTTCCTTCCATGCTCAGGGGATTTTGCTCGGCTGGGGACAGGGTTCCGTGGCATCCAACATCGGTCTGAATGGCCAAGGATCCGGCACTCCTCCCGGCAATGGAATCCTTCACTTTGATCTACAGAGAAAAGACAAAATGGGGTTATGATCTCACGAGCCAATGCATTCCAATCCAGCATATGTCCTTGCAGAGATTCGAGTCTGAGACTTCCAGCCAAAAGAATCTACAAGATCTCACAACATCAGAAAACAACATGCTTATCACACATGTATCCCATCATTCTTTCATGCTGGAAATGAAAATACCATGCACAGGGTTTTCAGGACGTTCCCCATCTAGTTACTAACCAGAGCCAGAACCTGCCTGCTGTTGTGAGCTGATGATCCTCCTCTGAGCAATTGCAAGCCACAAACCATTTCCCTTGCAAAATGCTCTTGAAGGGATCTCTGAGCATGCATGGAGTGGGTTGGTAAATCCTATCTAGTGTTTACCTCCAGCAACTCTCCTTATGAACATGCCTGGGACTCATCCTTTCAGGAGGAGCGTTCTGAAAGCAAGCATGCTTCTTTTCCATGTGCTGCTCATTCAGTTGGGCCTCCCACCTCTGCTGATGGGTCAAGAGCATGTGGGGGTGGGGGAGCTGGTCTGCATCTGAAAACTCCTCATTCTCAGGGACCCCCCCCTCACTTGGTTGTTCCCAGAAACTGCCCAGCTTGGCAAATAATCTGGCCTTGAGATTATCACCTCTGCCTCCTTCATCTCAGACTCTTGACCTAGCCCATCCTCCACAATCCCACTGCAATTCGTTTCACATTCCAATTCCAAATTAACTGGCATGCTGCCAGCAGTCCATGAGAACGATCATTCAAAATGGCCAACCTTCTCACTCCCGACACTTACCTTCAGCAACGATCCTCCTTGTTTGCCCTGGAAAGGAACTTAAATTGGCTTAACACTCATGCCTTTCCCCAGGGAATACTGGGAACCATATCCCTGCAGGATGGAACATGGTGGAACCTGGACATTCAGTGAAGACAAGCAAGCAGTCCTGCATGTTTTCAGCAAACTGCAGCAGAGTTCGATGCGGTCTTACATTACTGCATCTGACCAACTGATTCAACACATATTTCTTCTCCCCAAGTCAACTGCTTGTCATCCAAGCAGAAATCAAATCCAGCCCTCCCGTGTCCTCAAACTACTTTCCCCTGACTGCCAGCCACGTGGTGGTCTCCTGGGATTTGTGCAGTATTTTTCCCTTTCTAAAAGAGCGGAACAGTTCTCCTGAAGCTTAGTTACTGGCGAAATATGCCCTTGCATTGGCTCCACCCCCTTGCCTTTCATCGAGGCGTTGGCTCCACCCACTCACAGCATGCACTCCACAAAAGATTTCCCAAAACGCAATTCCTTCCAAGGTCTGGAAGTGGTTAAATACCACCGCTCTGAATGCTGAGGCAAGGGGTGCCAAAAAATAATTATCAGCTATCCAACTTCAGTTCCAAGGATTCTTGAGAGAGGAATCTATAGCCCAGGGGCATAAACACGTCCTGTGTTTGCAATGTAGTTTTGTCATGAAAACTGAGGAGTTGCCTGTTTTTAATGCCATCTAAGCACCTCTTGTTTTCTGTAACAAGCAGCTGGCATTTGTGAAGTGACATTTTAAAGGGCTGCTTTCATCACAATGGCTTCTCCATCACACACACACATGTGCATGCGCGCACACCTCACAAACATCCTTTTATTATTATTTTAACAGGTTGAAGTTCAGCCTCCAACAGACTAGGTGTCATTTGGAATTTCTGCTGCTGTTGCCGCTGCTGTCAGAAGCAAAAGGCTAAAGGGAAACAAGTTCCGACAGGAAGTAAATCAAACCACATTTGGTCTGCAGGCCCGGCTGTATGGAGTCAGCATTTCCTTCATCCTGATGCCAGCAGTAAAAGGCACAGGGCTTTAAACTTTGCTCAACATGCGATATCCAAATATAAACTCCACAATAGGCAATTCATTTTTCTGGCTGCTCTTTTTCTATCTTAGTGGATTTCATCTTGATCTCCTGCAGAGTTGCAGAGACATTTGTGGATCCCCCTAGCTGCTTGAGAGGCCCCTACAACACGGTGTATAACATGCCAAAAGCAGCCAGATCTTCCCCTGTGATGTCTGGGGTGGCAGTAGCCCCTGGACAATATTCTCTTTCACCAGCAGCACATCTGGACACATGTCCTTCTCCTAGAAGCAAGCCTCACTGAATGCAACAGGGCTTATTCCTGGAGCAAGTGTGGAATCCTCTTTTGGCCTTGGAGCCAGTATGTTGAGGCCACATATCACTGGTGGGTAGAAGTATATAAGACGGACTGGTCATGCCCACATGGGTGGGTGGTCCAACTCGCATAATCATGTAGACACATGCACATTCATTCTCTCTCTCTCTCTCTCTCTCTCTCTCTCTCTCTCTCTCTCACACACACACACACACACACACACACACACTGTTCCTGAGAAATCCTCTGCAGGCCAGGCCTTTTAAAAGCTCCCCTTCCTGCTGCTGAATCACAGCCAAGGGAGGGCCATAGTTTGAAGGGGGAGGCACAGTGCAAGGAGGAAGAGGAGGTGCAAAGGGAAGATACAGCTCGGTGCCATCACACGTAGCCCATGGACCAGGTGCTCCCCATCCCTGGTACAGAGGACATGGCCTACACACACAGCCAGGACGATTTGTGCAAACAGTCCAAGGGGGGCGCATGCCTTCCCTGCCATGCAGAAGTGACACTTGGGGCAAGAGCACTTCCATGTAGCCTCAGCGAGGCTACCAGCCCGTCAGCGGGTTCCTGCAAGGCTTGCAAATGACTTGGCCAGGCTAAGCTTTGGGAGTGGTATCAGTGCGATGATTCACAGGGAGGAAAAATGGAATCTGGAGTCCAGAGGACGGCCAGATGCCATTTTGTCATTTAACGAGAGCAGGCAACATTGGCAGGCGATTCTACAATGAAGCTTCTTGGAGTCATGGCAAAGGCTTGCCTCACACACTCAAACCTTGAAGATGAGAGACAGACCGGCATAACAATTTTAGGACGGTGGGGGCAACTGGGAAGCACTCCCATGTCCTTCAATCCAAATATACCTCTCTTTGCTGTCGTACTCCAGAGAGAGAAATGAGGGATGTGGAGAAATCCATTTTGGGGGTGTAATCTGATGCATTTGGCTTGGCTCCCCAGATTCCAGACCTTTGAAGCCCTGTGTCCAAGTCCCGGGAGAGTGCTCAGCATTCACAGAACACTCACCAGGAACCAAGCCCAGGCAGCCCTCCCCTTCCACATCATGCCTTCATTTGTGCACAGCCTTCGGCTGGGTTGCACAAACTTTATCAAACTGTGAGCATTCACAGTTTGGCTCACTTTCTAAGACCAGGCTGAGCATCAGAGGAGGTTGCAAACACTAGAGGGGTGGATTCCACAGAGCATCCTCCGGAAACTGAGGGAAGCAGTTCTGTAAGTTCGCAGCACCTACCACACCAGCAGAAAACCTTTTCCCCAGTCCTCAGAGCAGAGGTGCACTGAATATTGTAAGCCATCCCAAGATGTTTGTAGGGGATGGGATAGAAAATGTTAATATCAGATACAGATATAGATATAATTCTTGTCTAGCTAATAAGACAAAAAATCAACAGTTAAATGCATGTGCAGTTATTATTTATTTAATTTATATTCTGCATTAACTAGTCCAAAGTACTCTCTAAGTGGATTACAGAAAATGCAGTTGTTCACATGTGTTGTCTTAAAGGCAGAAAGTCTGTCTGAGCCATCAGGGAAGGGGTTCACCCTGGAAGCTGCTCTGGTATTGAATCAGTCATCGTGCTGGAATGTAGCAGCCTGGTCCAACATGGGGACACCCCAAGTCAGTGTTAGAACACCTGACCTGCATGCGGAAAGTCCCCGGTTCATTGCCAAGCTTCTCCAGTTAAAAGGGTCTTGGTTAACAGGTGGCAGGAAAGACTTCGGCCTGAGAATCTGGAAAGCCAGTGCCCATGAGAGCAGACAGTACTGCAGCAGATGAACAAATAGCTGGCCCTGGTCTATCTTCCTGGCTAACTACAGAAACTATCCCATTAATCCATGCAATTCTTGCCAACATTTTCCCTCTCTGGAATTCACCAGACCCTTTGCAACAAAAACTCTCACCTTTAATTACCCACCTCCTACCTCTGGTTCACTTCCCATCTTTCCTCAGAGAAGATCAAACTGGAGCCGGTGAAGAGTTAATGCGAAACAAACACAATGGACTCGCACCTTTGGAGAGTGATGGATTGAACACCCCAAGCATATCCCTAGTAGCAATTCAGCCACGGTTTTGCGCACGCACACGCTCACACGCACACACACACACACACACACACACACACACACAGAGCCTCCACTGTCCGAGGACACTCGGTTTGGATGCCTTGTTCATCTGGGTATGTAAGTACTGCTTTTCAGCTCCATTTGTATTTCTACCACATTCTAGCGCAAAAAAAGGGGGAGGGAGTCTGATAAAAATTCTCAGCACATAACTCAATGCAGCAAAAATATATATATGAGCAGCTTTAGCAGTTACAAGGAATCAGCTTGCAGAAAAGCAAAGCTAAGGTAGTCATAGAGAGAGAGCGGTGAGAAAAGCAGGGGAGAAAGGAACCAATCGGTTGGAATCCTGCATTTCAAATGTCTTCCTCTCCGTCGCAGCCACACTATTATACCAGGACAATTGCAAGTGGCTGTGCTGGAGAAGTGGGGTTTGTTGCCCTGTGTATCCTCTGTAAGATACAGCAAGCTTCCCTCCACCTCACCCTGCATCCCTGCCTCTGCTAGGAGCAGCTTCAACACTGGTGCGCTTAACGTATTTGCTTTTTCCCTTTCAGCTATTTGAACAAAAATAAAAGGATGGCAAGTTGCTATCTTCTTCTTCATTTCCAATGGAACGCCTTAATGAAATCACTTTCACATGAGTGTGGGATGAACAACACCTGGATGATTTTTTAATTTCATTTTATTCTGTTTTTAGAAGCAAGCCCTTGGTCCTCACGACAGCAGCAACAGGCTCAAAAGCATGCGGGCACCTTTCCAACGCAGCTTTCCAGTGCTGAAGAA